CTGTCTCTGACCTCGCTGCCTGCACTGACGCACAGCTTAGAGCCCACCAGCTGCCCATTACCTCTACCCTTTACCTGCTTGCCACCCGCCTCCCTGATCGCCTTGCTGTCGCCCGAGACCACTTCCTTAGCATTCACCCCGCAGACCTCACCCTCCCTGACTTTGTAGACACCCTGACTGTGATTGAGACCCGCCACCGCTCCATCGCCCAGGCGAGCGGTACCGTGCCGGTCCCTATCTTTCAGGGTTGTGCCCCTTCTCAGTGTACCTTCTCCGACGGCTCTGCCGCAGTGGCTGAGACCGCTGCTGCAGCGCAGTTTCGTTCGGGGAAGGGCCGCCGCCCCAAAGTTGGGCGCGGCGGAGGAGGCGGGGGTGCGGGAGGGGGTGGTGGTGGAGTCGGGTCGTCTGGTGCTGGAGCGGACGAGGGGACCCTGCCCGGCCGAGCTGAGCCGCCGCCCCTGCAGTTGCAGCAGCCGCAGCAGCCGCAGCAGCCGTCGCAAACGCGGCAGACAAGCGTCCTCCCGCCCGGGTGGCTCGGCGCTGGCGGTGGCCGGGCGCGTGGTGGTGTGCCGAGTGGTGGCTCTGGAGGCGTGCGTTGTCAGTACCAGATCCAGACCGGTCCTCGCCGCGACTTCGTTTGCGGTAAGATCGGTCACTCCACTCCCCGCTGCTTTCGTCGCCTGGACGACCTGTTTCGTCAGCGCTTCGGCCCGTCGCCAGACCTTCCGGACTGGCACAGTTTGCTTAGTCGTAAGATTCAGATTTTTGACATGGACATGGATGCCATTGTTTCTGCTCTGCATGTGATGTATGCTGATGACTCTAGTGTGCTTCCCACTTATTACTCACTGTCGGCTAGTGTAGGTGTGCCTAGCTTAGCCTCCCCTGCTGCGTCAGGCGTAGGATCCCCTGCTTTGTGTAGTCTTGGTGCTTCCGCCGTCGTTCCGTCGCCAGACGCCTCTGCTTCGCTTTCCTTCACCCTGGACTCTGGCGCTTCCCGGTGTTTCTTCCGCGACTTCACCACCCTGACGCCGCTTCCTGTTCCTGCTGCCGTTTCTCTTGCTGACCCCTCCGGCGGTCCGGTAGTCGCCCGCAGTTCCACCACCCTTCCCTGTCCGGCGGTTCCTTCGGGCACTCTTACAGGTCTGCATATCCCCTCGTTCTCTTGGAACCTAGTTGGTGTCGGCTGCCTCCAGGACCTTGGCGTCACCACTACGTTCCCTGGTCACGAGCGATATGCTGTCTGTACCGAGGCCGCCACTGGTGCCCCCCTGTCCTCGTTCCCCCGGGACCCGGTGTCCGGCCTGTTCACTCTGGACACCGTGACCCCCCCGGCTGGAGCGCTCACCCAGGTTGCTGCTGCCTCCGGCACGGACAAGCTCACTGCCCGCACCCTTCCCTGCGTCTTCCTCGGTTTTCCCCTTGACGCGTCCGACTGGCACTTTTACCACCCGCAGTCTCACCGCTTCTTTCACTCTCGCGACGTCACATTTGACGAGTCCGTCTCCTACTACTGTCGCTTCCCCCACCGCGGTCCCCCGGTTACCCCCCCCCTGTTCCTGGTCACTCCTTCCCCGGTAGTCCCTGCCCCTCCTCCTCCTCCTCCCCGTCCTGCCCCCTCTGGTGTGTCCCACGTCACCCCCCTTCCGTCGGTAGACCCGGTTGAGGAGTCCTCTGACTCTGGTGGCCCTGCTGCGCAGTCCTCGCCGGCCGCCCCTCCCCCGGCGTCCCCTCCTCCACCGCCTCTGCCGCCGCTGCAGCCGTCGTTGTCGCTGCCGCCGCCGCCGCCGCCGCCACCGTCCCAGCACCCGTTCGCTGACTCTGGGCGTGCTCGTCCCGGTCGCCCTGGGGATGGTCCCTCTGGGGGTGCTGGTGTGGAGTATGTCTGTGGTAGCCGAGGAGCAGCTTGCGGTCCAGGTGTCGTCGTTGTGCCGCCGCAGCAGCAGTCCCCGCCTATGTCAGCCCTTCGCCTGCTCGGGCTTCCGTCCCTTGACCCTGCGGCTGTTCCTCTCCGACCGTCTCCTCCTCTTCCCATCTACGGCCCTGTGTTCCCTCCGCCGGACTCGTCCCCGGCCCGTCTTCCCCCTCGTTCCCCTCCTGTCTCCCCTCCCTTGTCTCCTGACCCGACTCCTCCGTCGCACGTCTGGTCTCACCGTCCCTCCCGTGCTCGTCCTGCCTTGCCTGTCTTGCGCTTCCACCCTATGTTGCTTCGTTCCCACGCGTCTCGTCCTCCCCTGCTGCCGTCGCCTCCTCCGTCCTCCCTTGTTGTTGCACCCCCCCCGCTGTCTGACTACCTTCGTGCCGCTCGTCCTCTTGTTCCCCGGGTCCTTGCCTCTCTCGTTACCGACCCCTCTGTTCCGGTCTCGTGCCTTGACGCTCTTGTAGCTGCGGTCACTGACTTCGCCTCTACCCGCCGCCTTGACTATGCCACAGCTCTGGTCTCTGACCCTGCCTGTCCTCCGTCTGTCGGGGGTGCTCCTGCCCTTGGCAATGACGTCCTGGAGGACCGCCAGTTCGAGCTTGCTTTCCTGTCAGAGGCTGCTCCACATCTCTGTTCCATGCTGCTAGTCCCGGAGGGTGACCCAGACGCTTTCGACATCCCGACCCCTCGCACTTACGCTGAGGCGACCTCGGGACCTTGGGCCTCGCAGTGGATAGCTGCCATGGAGCAGGAGATGGCATCTTGGAGATCCACCGGCACCTTCGTCGACGCAGTTCCCCCGCCTGGGGTGAACGTAGTCGATGGACGCTGGCTCTTCAAGGTGAAGCGCCCTCCTAGAGAGCCGCCTGTGTTCAAGGCGCGCTACGTGGCTAGAGGCTTCAGTCAGCGTAAGGGGGTGGACTTCTTCCAGACCTTCGCTACGACCCCGAAGATGACTACTCTTCGGGTTCTGCTACACCTAGCTGCTTAGCGCGACTACGAGCTTCACTCCCTCGACTTCTCCACTGCCTTCCTTCAGGGCAGCCTACATGAGCAGGTCTACTTGCGTCGCCCTCAGGGCTTTACTGGCACCTTCCCTCCTGGGACCCAGTGGCTCCTGCGGCGCCCTGTCTACGGCCTGCGCCAGGCTCCCCGTGAGTGGCACGACACTCTCCGTGCTACGCTTGCTGACCTGCAGTTCTTTCCGTCTTCCGCAGACCCCTCACTCTTCGTTCGTGCTGGCCAGAATCCGTTCTACATCCTTGTTTACGTTGACGACCTGGTCTTTGCCACACTAGATAGGGACGCACTGGCCTCCGTGAAGGCAGAGCTGCTGAAGAGACACACGTGCACTGACCTTGGAGAGCTGCGCCGTTACCTTGGCTTGCAGATCTCCAGGGACAGAGCAGCGCGCACCATCACCCTGACTCAGTCACACTTGGTGCGCCAGGTCCTTCAGAGGTTCAGCCTTCAGTTCTCCTCTGCACAGCCCACCCCTCTGCCTGTAGACCACAGACTCTCCGCTCCAGTGTCTGAGGAGTCGGTTGAGCCCAGCAGCCCCTACGCAGAGCTGGTGGGTTGCCTCATGTACCTGATGACTTGCACTCGCCCAGATCTCGCATACCCTCTCAACATCCTGGCTCGCTTTGTGGCCACAGGCAGACACCGACCGCATCACTGGTCTGCCGCTAAGAGGGTTTTGCGTTATCTTGCTAGGGCCTTGACTTTGTACTGCCCTTTTATATGTATACTCAGACTGGACTTGTGTCCTCTACCAGTGGCTGGACTAGTAGTGCCTCCCTGATCTTGTTCTTGCCTTGTATGTACTCCTTCTGATTGGTCTTTTAGACCCTTGTCTCAGAGGTTGGACTAGTAGTGCCACCCTGAGCTGCTTGTTCAGGACATTCCCCTATGCAGTCTAGGGGGTGTGTCAAACATGTGTATTAGTTATGTTTGCATAGACTGTATAGGGTCACCTCTTAGAGGGTACAATACTTAGGTATATCTATCTGTACTCTCCCACCACTCATTATTCACTTCTCATTCTGATAAAGAGACCTGCTTAGGGGTCCCTCCCCTGTTATGGGGGAAGAGAGGGGGAGCCCAATGGTGTGAGAGAGGGGGGGCTGAGGGGAGATAGAGCTGACTTTGGGGGGGCAGAGTGTTGGAGTTTTGAGGAATAGAGAGGCGGATCTGAGAGGTTAGTGAGGCAGGGCTGAGAGAATGGGAGGGGGAGCTGAGGTGGAAGGGAGGGGAAGCCGGGAGGAAAGCGGGGGGGAGTCGTGGGGAAAGCGGGGGGGAGCCGTAGGGAAAGCGGGGGGGAGTCATGGGGAAAGCGGGGGGGAGCCGTGGGGAAAGTGAGGGGGAGCCGTGGGGGAGAAGAGGGGGTGCTGTGGGGGGAGAGAGGGGGACCGTAGGGGAAGAGAGGGGAAGCCGTGGGGGAAGAGATTGGGAGCTATGGGGGAAGAAAGGGGGCGCTGTGGGGGAAGAGAGGGGAAGCCGTAGAGGAAGAGAGGAGGCCTGAGTGTCATTAGAGAGGGAGCTGTGAGGAACAGGAAAGGGCATGAATTCGCTTCCCCATGGGCCGTGAGGGGGGCAGGTTGGTTCACCCAAGATTTCCGCGTCCGGTTTTGTGGGTACCTGCTTGCCTCGTCTCCCATGCTCGCAAGCTCCTACAGCTTTGTCTGAAACCCGACTCTGAAACACGGGGGCTCGTGCTGGGGGCACCCTGAGCCATGTTCCTCAAAATCCAATCAGAAGCCCTTCCAATCACCTTCTTCAGAGTTGGAGCAACTGCAAAACACTTGCGGCACTTGATACCCTGGATTTAACTCTATTTCCTGGTGGCTCATAGCAATCATCGTATTTAGGCCCCTTGTAATCAAATCATTATATATTCGGTGGTGAACTTACCGAATTGAAATAAGCACGATTAATTTGCAAGGGATAGAACATGGTGTAGGTATTATGAAAGCGCAATAACTCTAACGAGGCCCGGCAACAGCCCTTTTCACCCTCGATCACACTCGAGCCTAGGCTAGACATCACGGGCCGCGGAGCTACGACACCCTACAATTGTATGCACTCGATCATGCGACACCCTCTTCAACCCTCTGTGCCACCCGTTTCAAGCCAATCTGACATTGGACTGAATCCGCGTAGTGCTCATGGCTCCCCGCAGCGTCGCCAGCTTATCTGCTTCGCTCGCCACCTCGCTGTCTCCGCATACGCGCTTCTCGTTCCCCTCATATCATCCCATTTCCTCTTTTCTCCTCCCCTCTCGTCTCGCGTCTCTACTCCTTCTCCCCCTCCTTTTCCTGCTCGTCCTTTCCGCAATCCCTTCCCCCAGCGACTCCGTCCCCCTCTCTCGCGCCAATCCATCCGCGCGCCGTCCGCAACCACACTCTCCTCCGCCCCCCTCCTCTTTCCCGCTCCCCGCCTCCCGCCTTTTGTCCCGCGTAGGCTCACAGGCACAGGAATCAAGAGGCGAAAAATCTTCGCAAGAGCAATCGGTTGAGAAACCGCAACGAGCGGGATCGGTAGATGCGCCGTCATGGGACGCCCTGTCGTCGCTGCGCACCGCGAGCGACGCCGACTACCGCGCGCTGGTCGCGCCGCTGGCGGAGATGGCGGCGAACGCGTACCGGTGGTCGTTCGCACCGATTAAGGAAGTGGCGGGGTGGCGGCTGTCGGACAGAGTGCCGCCCGTTGCTCCCATCGACGGCGGCATGCACGCGCTCGTGTTCCAGGTGGGGGGGACTGCGGATAGTGGCGGGGGTTCACGAGAGGGGGTTCGGGGTCGGGGTCGGGGGGGGGAGGGGGCAGAGGTGGGGGTTGCGGCGGGTACGCTGCCAGGCGTGCCAGTGGGACAGGATTGGTCGAGGCTGGATTGAAAGGGTTTAGAGACGGATGCAAGGTGAATCGTTTGACCTTGTACCTTCACCTCACTCATTTGCTCTCCATCTCGCCTCTTCTCCTGCTCAAACTCGCTCTCCCTCATCCACACACTGCCCCTGACGGCATGCACCACAGTCTCCCTGTAACCTGCCTGCAGCCCCCCCCCCCCCCCCCCCCCCTCCCCCTCTCTCCCAACCACCGTCTCACCCCGTGCAGGAGGGCGTGCCGTCCAACGAGCCAGACTGTGAGTCGGAGGGCAGTAGGGCAGCCGAGGGTGCAGTGTCTACAGAAGCAGAAGCAGGTGTTTCGCTGGACTCACCAGCGTCAGTGACAGCTTCGTCCTCACTCTCACCCCCCTCCACCACCACCATCTCCTCCTCCTCCTCCTCCTCCTCCTCCTCCTCCTCCTCCTCCTCCTCCTCCTCCTCCTCCTCCTCCTCCTCCTCCTCCTCCTCCTCCTCCCCCTCACCCCCCCGCATCGTCATTGCCTTCCGCGGCACCTTTCTCGCCAACCTCTCTCCCCGCCCGCCTCCTCCTCCCCCTCCGCATCCACCCCCCCCCTCCCCGCCTTACCCTTCCCCCCAGCAGCAGCAGCAGCAGCAGCAGGCGGACCTATGCGCGGATCACCTGCTGTGGGGGGACCCCTCCGCGCCCGCCCCTGCCTTCTGCGGCCTCTTTCCCCCCGCCACCCTTGACTACTACTCCCAGGCCCTGGCGCTAGTGGGGGAGGTGAGTGGCGGAGAAGGGGTGTGGGGGGAGGGAAGAGAACCGGAAGGGGGAATAGGGAGAAAAGGAGGAGGGATGAGAGAGAGGGATAGGGGGAAAAGGGGCAGGGCACCAAGTTTTTTAGTGCATATGCGTGTTATTCGATCCTCTCAGTCTCCCTCATTCCTTCTAACAAGAAGCGTGAAGACAAGCCATTATACAGTATGGTTTCCCTCTCACATGCAACTACAATGCCCTCTTCACTACGGAGTCTTAAGAAACGCTCTCGCTCCTGCTTCATTTCTCGCCTGTGCACGTGCTTTCCCACACCCCCAATGCGCTGCACCAGGTGTTGTCAGTGTATGGTCGCACCTCTCCCGTGCTGCTCACAGGTGATCATGCCCCTCAATGGTTGTCATGGTGTGGTGGTTGTGGCCATGTGTGGGCTGGTGGCTGGGTGGTTGGTTGCTGGATCAATGGCTGAGTGAGTGATGGAAGGCATGCACTCATGCGCACCCACACTCCACGTTTCCCAATTTGACTTTCCCCCTCACCGTCCCTGACCTCCCCATCCCCCATCTCCCATCCCCTTCCTTCCCCCCTATCCTGCACCCCCAGGCCACAGTCTAGGAGGAGGCCTTGCAGTGCTTGCATCTGCCGCCTTCTCCTCTGCGCCTCTTCCCCTCTCCGCTGCCCCATCCCTCTCCCCCCGTGCTGTCGACGATGCTGCTGCCACTTCGGATGACGGTTATGGCTCCAGCGCTCTCTTCTCCGGGTCGCTTGTGCTTCCCGTGCTGGCCTTCTCGTGAGTCACGGTTCAGGCTTGCTGTGACTGGCTGCGTCTTTGAGGGCAGTTACCACGAGAGGGTGGGACCGTGGGAGTGCAAAAGCGTGTGAGGGACACGTGCTGTCTGCGGATATCCAGGCACCCATCATGTCCCTACTTTGTCTCTGGTCTGCTGTGACCATATGTAGACTTCTGACTTTCACTGCTGCCTCATCTCTCGCCTGTCCCATCCCATCCCGCCTTGACTTGCCTGCAGGCCAGCTGGTGCGCGCAGTGCTGCATTGCGGCGCCGTCTGACCTTTGCTGCAGAGCGCAGCAACCTGGCATACAGCATTGCTGATGTGTGAGTGAGTCATGGGAGCCACCACCGCATGCCATGCGATGCCATGCCATACCATCCCACGCCACGTGGACTATATGTGTCCGTTGTCACCTCCTGTTCCACATTCCCTGTCCACCACAGCCGTCCTCCCGCCTTGGTCATCCCCTCATCTCCCGCATTCTCCCTGCACTAACCCCCCTCCAGGTGGGACCCTCTCATCCAGCTAGCGCCCTACCAGCAGCTCGGCTCCCTCTACCTCTACCGCTCCTCTGAGCCGCCTCCCTGTCAAGCCTGCTATGGCAATGGCTCCCTGCCATGCGGCACCCCTGATGATGGTGCCGATGGGAAGGAGCATGAGGTGAGGTGCATGCTGGTGCATGGCATGTTGCCATGCCGCGGCATGCCACGTCGTGGGAGGTGTGGAGGGTGCAGCCTAGTTATGCCATGCTGTTATGCTGCTGGAAAGGTTCTGCTATGCTGTAAGCGGTATGTGGTGCTTGTGTGATGTGAAGCTATTGTACTCCCATTGTGTTCACGTCCTTGATACACCATCACGACCAACACCTGCTCTCACACTCTCTGCTTTCCCGATCACTCATCATCTCCATTATTACCCTTTCCCACGATCCCTCATCCTCCCAGCGCCCCACCCTGTTACAGCTCCTACAGTCAAGCTCGACTGCTCCCAACCCAATGCGTCCTCAAAACCCTCCTGTGCATGGACAAAATCTAGGGACAGCAGATGAGGCAACGAGTGGTAACCGCAGCGCGAGTAACGATCCGCCACCGCCCCCGGCTGCGTGCACATCGTGCTTCCTGTCCACGCATATCCTGCGCCATGTCATGGCCCTCGTGTACAATAGTCCTCGTCCCTCCTGCGCGCCTGTGCCCATGCCCCCTGCACATGGCAGCATGCCTAGCCATAGGTGGGTCTCTCATGGGGGCAATCATCTGAGGGCAGCTGCTTGATTGACTTGGGCTTTTCCAACCATCGTCGCTGTGTCTGTCAGCATACCGTAAATACAATTGGAAGCTTCCCATTTGTTGGCATGCTTGTATGGTTTTCCGTTGCTTAGCCAACGCCTTGGTGAAAGTAAGGCCCAAATTGAAGGGGATAGATGTTATTTTGTACAATGGTCTCACTAGAACAATTTCTAACTAACCTGTGAGCGTTCTTACGTATGAAGACGAGTCGCGCAACTCCACTTCTGAACGCGTTATAAGTTGCCGTGAAGTGCTTCACGGACGGTGGAGCGGCGAGACACGCGTTGGTTGCGGATTGGCACCGTCGTCCTCACCTCCCGTCTTCTCTTGGGGCTGTCTGGGCCTCAACTGAGCGCCCCCGCAAGGCACTCGCATAGGTACAAACATGCAGAAGCACTCCCAGGAAGAGCTTTCAAGGATTTGCCCACTCTTCCCCTGCGGAAGAGCCTCGCCCGCCTCCTCGATCCCTGACACACCGAATCCAGATTACCCGCGAGCCTCACGGCACGGTAGCCATGGCGTCCGCTCTCCGAGTCCTCAGGCGAGACGCCGCGCCGAAGGCCTTTCTTCCCCTGGCCGCCGCGCGCCTATCAACCTCTCTTCTTGCCACGAGAGCCGTTGGAACTCAGCCCCCGAGTCAAAGCCACGGTCTAGATTCGATATTTCCGAAGTCTGGATCAGATAGAGGCGCGGGGATTAGGTGCTCCGGGACAGACTGCGACCTCGAAAGGGTTGCACCGCCGCTGCCACGTATCGACGAACTATGCGACGCAATCGGATCGCGATTCGATCTCGCAAGATCCGCCAGATCTACTCACGGGGCTATCATCTGGCAAACGAGAGGTCTCCCCGCTTGGAACGCCCGTCAGCCGGATTCCCAGCAGAATCCGTCAACTGCCTTGCGACACGTGGCGCTTCTCCATTCGTCCTCCGTCGCACACATAACAAGTGGCGGGGGCGAGTCGACGGGAAGCAGAGAGGGCTCCTCTGGGGCAGGTGGGCTGACATGGGGTCACGGGGGGATGGGACAAGAGTGGAGGGGGGAAGAGGGGATGAGGAAGAGCAAGTGAGATTGTTGTGCAACCATACATACTATGCATACCATGCCAACCATGCATGCCATGCTAACCATGCATATATGTGCACCGTGCATTTATGTGTACCATGCAATTATGTGTGCCGTGCATGCATGCGCGCTCCCTCTGTCTCCCTCATCCGCGCTGCCCCTCTCTCCCTCACTGCGCAACCGATCCTGTCTCCCAAGTCAATTCCCCCTGCCCTCCCCCTCCCATGGGCAGCAGCAGGCCACACCGACCCCCACACCTCGTCTGCTGCAGCAGGAGGAGAAGGCGTGGGATCTCAGGGGCATGGCGAGAGAAGCAGTGATACCGGCAGCAGCAGCAGCAGCAGCAGCAGCGGCGGGGAGGATGGCGACAGCGTTAAGGCTGCAGTGCTGCAGGCTGCTCTCACTCACGTGGTGAGGCAGAGGGAAACGGGTTGTCCCTCCCCTGGGAACTCCTACCGCTGGCCATCATCCAGCTGACCCTGAATGGGAAACGGCTTGTCTCTCCTCCTGCCCCTTCTTCCTCCCCTTCCCCCCCCCCCTCCCTTCCAACCCTCTAGCCCACTGTCCCCTCCCCACCCTCCCCGCCCCGCAGTCCGCCCTGGGGTGGAGCAGTGCGGCGCTGATAGCAGGCGCACGAGACCGCGGCCTCTCGCCCTCCGTGCTGGGGATGCTGCCCCGGGGGGAGGCGCACCTGGTGGAGGTGCGTGCAGGGATGGGGTGGAGTGGAGGGAGGGTGTTGGGGACTGGTGCTAGAGGGGAGTAGCAGGGCTGCGAGAGTGGGGGAGGAGGAGTTTACTCGCCGTTATCCTCCGTGGCCATTCTACCCTCCCACCTCTCGTTTCCATCCCCTCCGTCTAACCCCTCCCGTTCTTCTCCTGCTCTCCCAACTCCCCTCCCGCCGTACACCTTCCATATCATCAATACCCACTCCCCCCTCTCCCCCCTCCACATTCTCACCCCACCCCCCCAGTTCTTCATGGACCGGTGCCGCAAGCAGTTCGAAGCTGAGTTCCCCCACACGCCGATCGCAGTCGCCACCGCCGCACCCGGCAGCAGCAGCGGCCCTGGGCAAGGCCACCCACTCAGCTACGAGGCGGAGGATTCCTTGGCTCTGCAGAGCCGCATGGCCGCTGCCATCCGCACACGGCTGAATATCCAGGCGCCTTACACGTCCACGTGGCACCAGGCTCTCGCCATTCAGGTGAGAGGGGGAAATGGGCCAAGGGGTGCATGCATGCATGGGGGTCGTGTGGTGGGGGCATGGAGGCCGCTGATAGGTGTGCTACTCACACATACCTGCATCCATAGCGGCTCAACATGAGGCACGAGTTGTTGCTGTATGTTTCGACACGACCCGCATGCCTCTTACCCCAAGACTTGCCTCCTGCGCTCTACCCTAGTGCACCTATCTGCCTGCTTCCCATGCTCACTTCCCTTTCCGCCCATCCCTCCCCGCATCCCTCCCTCGACCTGTTTCCCCTAACGCATTCCCTTCCCCTCCCCCTTCCCCTCCCCCTTCCCCTCCCCCTTCCCCTCCCCCTCCCCCCACACCCCAGGCGCGTCCGTCCAACGCGTGCCACGCGTTGCGGCAGCGGCGGCAGCTGGCGGCGAGCATGTGGAGTGCGGTGGGCGTGCGGTGCAGCGACGCGCAGCTGCTGGCGTACCGCGTGCTGCTGGGGTCCGCGTATGCCGCCGCGGAGGTGCACATGCTCACTGACTTCTCGCCAGGTGGGTGGGTGCCACTGCCAAGCGAACAGATGCTTGATTTAGAGCTGGCTGTGCCGAGGAGCGTGTAGTGGTTTGTATATAGCTAAGAAAGTGGTCAGTTGGCCTGTCCTTGCTAGCTCGAGTTGTGTGGCTAGGAAGGGGCATGTGGAGTGTGGTGGGTGTGCGGTGTAGTGACGCACAGCTACTGGCATACGGCGTGGGGAGGAGAAGATCTGTTGCGAAAGAGCTGGCTGGCTGGCTGGCTGGCTGGCTGGGTGCGGCGAGGGAAGTCTTCTGCTGGTTTCTATTCTTCCGCCTTGCTTTGATTGAAGATCCGTTCGTCTGGCTCCTAAGCTGTCTTCTTTTATTCGTGGCTCTCTTGACCGTCCATCTGTCCTTCCCCTGCAGATTTCCATGACACGTGGCGGTTTGTGGACCGTGAGATGCAGGCAGCGTTCCAGATGAAGGGGTCAGCAGACAGGCTCGTGGTGAGTGCATGCTGCACTGCTGGATCTGAAGGGGGTCTGAGAGTGCGTGTGCACATGTGTGTGCATGTGTGTGTGCATGTGTGTGTGCATGTGTGCGTGCATGTGTGCGTGCATATGTGTGTGCATGTGTGTGTGCACACGTGTGTGCATGTGTGTGTGCACACGTGTGTGCATGTGTGTGTGCACACGTGTGTGCATGTGTGTGTGCATGTGTGTGTGCACACGTGTGTGCATGTGTGTGTGCACACGTGTGTGCATGTGTGTGTGCATATGTGTGTCCATGTGTGTGTGCATGTGTGCACATGTGTGTGCATGTGTGTGCATGTGTGTATGTGTGCATGTGTGTGTGCATGTGTGTGTGCATGTGTGTGTGCACATGTGTGTGCATATGTGTGTGCATATGTGTATGCATGTGTGTGTGCATATGTGTGTGCATGTGTGTGTGCACATGTGTGTGCACCTGTGTGTGCATGTGTGTGTGCACATGTGTGTGCATGTGTGTGTGCACATGTGTGTGCACATGTGTGTGCATATGTGTGTGCATATGCGTGTGCATATGCGTGTGCATATCTGTGAGTGTGTGCGCATGTGCGTGTGCCTGTGCTTGTGCCTGTGCGTGCATGTGTGTGCGTGCATACCCCCGTTGCATGTGTGCGTCTTGCACGTGTGTGTACATATGTGTGTGTGTGTGTGTGCATGTGTGTGCATATGTGTGCATGTGTGTGTGCATGTGTGTGCATATGTGTGCATGTGTGTGTGCATGTGTGTCCATATGTGTGTGCATGTGTCTGTGCTGCACAGTGAAGGCCCTTCAGTGCATCTAGGAACCCATTCCCAGCAGCATGAATTTGGTCACTTCTTCCCCTCTCGTCCCACTGCCTGCACACCATTTACACTCTTCTCTTCTCTTCCCTTCATCCCTGCAACTTCCCTCCCTCCCCCCTCCCCCCTCCCCCCCTCCCTCTCTCCCTGCAGTCCCAGGCGTGTGACAGCATCCCCGCCATCAAGACCGTTCTCTCCATCCTCTCCAAGCCGCCCAAGCCTTCTGCTGGTCAGGCGTAGCGTGCAGCACATCCGCTTCGTATAGTCGCTTTATCTACCAACATGAAGTAATCAGTGTTGTTGGTACGACTTGACTCGACGAAGCAAGTACCTACTGGACTGGATGAGCCCTTGGTGCTGGTTGTGTGCGAATCAAGGTCAGTTAATAATTAGGTACCTGAGGAAGGGTAGCTGTCCTTCTCTGTGAAGATAATATGTACAAAATCCAAGCAGTTCTGGCATTATTACTATCTGCTCCTACAAAATTTGCTACCTGAGAAAAATAAATCGTGCATCTCCTGCAGCAGACTGCCACAGCGCGTGGGCACAGTCCGCTGCCCAGCAGGCAAGACAGTGGGACCATGCAGGCCGGATACAGACATGTGTCCAGCCCACATTGCCATCCCCCATGGCACACCGGGAGAGCGCACCCCTCCTTCCATCACCCAACAGCAGGCCTCGCCTGACCTGACCTGACCTCTCCAGTGGCCATTCCTTCAGATCACCATGCCAGGTTCACCAGCTCCTCCTCCGTGGCTGTCAGCCGCGGCAGCGGCACCGACACCCGCGTCACCCTTGCCCCACCCTCACTCTCACTCTCACTCCCACTCTCGCTCCCACTCCCCGCGCCGTCCCCCACGACGGCCTGGTGGAAGGGGAGCAGCGCACAGAACTCGATGCACTGCTGCCCTGTGGCCCGGTCCACGTGCAGGCGGTACAGCGGCTGGCCCGCGCCGTAGTCCCCCAGCAGGGAGTAGCTCTCGGGCGACCCATCCATCGTCACACACTCGCGCTCGGAACCTGAAGTGAGGGAGAAGCGGGTTTACTTTGAATCGGCTTAGAATAAATCTCCTCACACTCGCGCTAGGAACCTGCGGCGAGGGAGATGCAGAGGTGGGGTGCAGGCGGGGGTGGTTGCAGAGGGAGACGAGAGCAAATGGAAGGTAACGTTGTTAAGTGTAGGCTTGGTAGATGTTACTGAACATTACTGTAGAGGGTACAACACCCCTCCTTGTATTCCTCTCTCTTCTTTCCTAGTTCTCTTTTCTCTCGACATTCTCGCCTTCCTCCTAGATCTAGATCTCACGCCATATTCATGGCTTCACCTATTCTTACCTAGCCTAACTTCAAGACATGGTTTCAGAGCAGGACGCCCTTCCCGGGCCTGCTCTCCACGCTTCCGCCGCGTACTTGTCCTTACCGTGCCGCCGTCGCGGCCTTCTGTCCGTTTGCCACCGTCGCGGCCTTCTGCCTGTTCGCTGCCGTCGCGGCCTTCCTACTGCCTGCCGCCGTGGCACCGTTTCCAAGATGCCGCGGCGGCCCCTGCATGCTGTCGGCCCAGCGTCGACGAGCAGCTGCGGCGACGACGCCACGCTGTGATGGCGCCGTCGTGGTGCCGTGGTTGCGACGTCGGTCAGTTGCCGTCGCGCACGACCTGCGTCGCTGCTGGAAATGCAGCCCGCCCGCTCGCCAGTCAGCGCCGCGCCAACAATGGATCTTCAACGCGGCGTATATTCATGGCTTAGGATCTTCAGCGCGCTGCGCCAGCAATGGATCTTCAGCGCGCTGAAGATCCTAAGCCATGGGCTAAACCGGGAAGGGCGTCCTCCTCTGAAACCATGTCTTGAAGTTAGGCTAGGTAGGAATAGGTGAAGCCATGAATATGGCGTGAGATCTAGATCTAGGAGGAAGGCGAGAATGTCGAGAGAAAAGAGGACTAGGAAAGAAGAGAGAGGGATACAAGGAGGGGTGTTGTACCCTCTACAGTAATGTTTAGTAACATCTACCAAGCCTACACTTATATAATAACTTAAATAATTTAACAAACGTTACAGGCTGCAGGGGGGTCAGGGAGGGCAGGGAGGGAAGAGCGCCGGGTCCGACTCACACGGCTGCCTGCTGTAGAACAAACCACCAGCACGCTAATTCTCTCCTGTTTCTTTAGGCGCCTCAAGAACAAGAGGCAACAAGAGGCACTTACAACCGGCGTGATCCAGCTGCGCGCTGCAGATGAACTCCAGCACGGTACCTGCCTTCATTCACTTCACAAGTCTTAAAAGCAACATGGCGCACTCACAGGTGGGGTGCTCGAGCTGCCTGCTATAGTTGAGCTCCAGAATTTGCGCGCTGCAGATGAGCTCCAGCTCAGCGCCCCCCCCCTCTCCAGTTAGGAGCCTCAGCAACCAGATCAACCAGGCCGCATGCTAGCGTGGAGCATAGCGTGGTAGATGCACTCCAGCATGGCGCCCGCCTCTCTGTCCGTTTGACATCGCAAGAACAGCAAGAGGCACTCACATGCGGCATGCTCCAGCTGCGTGCTGTAGATGAACTCCAGCACGGCGCCCGCCTCCCTCTCAAACGCGCCAAAGCTGCCCGACGGCCCGCCGCCCCCTGTGGCTGCGATGGCGCGCCGCAGCTTGTTGACCCCCTCGCCGAACTCCATCATGGCGCCGCTGTGGTTCTGGCAGGCACATGGGGGGGTTCGAAAAGGGGCGGGAGAGGAGGTGGGGTTGGCACTGAAAGTTGGCCCTCGGTGTGACTCAACGAACTTGTCTGGCTGTTATGGTGCGCCGCAGCTTGTTGACGCCCTCACCAAACCAAACTCCATCCTGGCGCCGCTGTGGTTCTGGTGGAGGCATAGAGGCAGGGGAAAGACAGCGGCATTTGGGGGGTGGGAGTGATACAAACGGCAAAGGGAGGAAGGAAGCAGCGGCATGTGGCAGAAGTGATTATAGAGTCACAAAAGGGAGAAAGCGGTGGGAATGACTCACGGGTTCCATGGATGGACGTCATCATGTACATGCTAAAAAGTGCCCATGGACACATGCATGTTCCCTTGGCACCGCGCAACTGGTTGAGCATGTGGACCATGGCCCCTGTGCGCTGCAGCATGAACGAGCCCTGTTTGCAATGTCACCACACAAGCACATGCGTGCCTATCATTACAGTCACCTGGTTGATCAGGTGCCCCACCCACCTGGTTGAGCAGGTGCCCCACCCACCTGGTTGAGCAGGTGCCCCACCCACCTGGTTGAGCAGGTGCACCATGCCCACGGCGCACTGCAGCAGCCCGTGCAGCATGCTCCTCTGGGGCTCCGCGGACTGGTGCCACATCTCCTCCAACACGTCATGGCACCTGCCACGTGTCATATGCATGTGTCATATATCATGTGCCATGTGTCATGAAACACAACAATGTGCCATACACCATCATACACCACGTGCCATACACCATGTGCCATACACCACGTACCATACACCATGAGCCATATACCATGTGCCATACACCATGTGCCATACACCACGTGCCATACACCATGTGCCATACACCACCATGTGCCATGACCACGTGCCATACACCATACACCACGTGCCATACACCATATGCCGTAGAGACACCAACACACACCATGCAGAACGGCCCAAGCAAAGAGATTTCAGTCGTGCAAACGTCGGAGCTCCACACGAGGGGGAAAAAAAGGCGCCGCGGACACAATAGCTACTTCAGCTGACTGCCAGCAGTCAGCTGAGGAAGGGTAAAGCATGGCGGCTGATTCCACCGCATCACTTCTGCGCCTCTCCACAAGCCACAAACCCAGACCCATCCCCAACCTCCTCTCACTCCTCCCTCCCTTGAATCCTTCCTACCTCCCAGCCTGCCTGTCACCTGCCCCACTAAACCATCCCACCAGCTAGCCTGGTCTGCCCAACCCAGTCTCCCCAGCCATCCACTCCAGTTCCAGCAACATCCCAGTCCCAGTCGCACATCCCACTCGCACATCCCAGTCGCACATCCCAGTCGCACATCCCAGTCGCACATCCCAGTCGCACATCCCAGTCGCACATCCCAGTCGCACATCCCAGTCGCTCATCCCAGTCGCTCATCCCAGTCGCCCGTCCCCTCCTCCCTCCACACGCACTTGTAGAATTGCCCTTCGTTGAACAACGCCACAGCTTCCTCGAATTTTCCTTCCACGCCCCCGCCAAACGCCGCCACGTCATCATCGCTCCAACGATACGACCGCGCAAGCACACCCCGCCTTGCGCCCGCCGCCGCGGCCGCCTCCGCGTGCCCCGCACCTCTCCGCGCTAGCGGGAGCTTATCACCCGCGCGCCGGTTCTCCCCTTGGCCGCTTCCGCCCGCGCTGTTCCGCACACAGCGCACCGCGCAACTTATCCCGCCACTTCCCCTGCAGCTTCTGCTTATAGCGCAATCGCTGGTGAACGGCCGCGAATAGGGTGACAATAACGGGAGCAGAGATCCCGAAAAAAACAGTCGAGAATCGCGCAGCCGCAGGCGCGAGGGCGAACGCGACGGAGCGGCTAAGACCGAGCCTATGAGGCTACTACCCCTGGGGGCGATGACGGGTGATGGGAGGGCGGATGGCGAGGACCGCACGATCGCACGTGAAAGGACATCCATGTGATCGGACGGACAGGATGGGGAGATAGAGACGCGCAGTCCGGTCGCAACGCAACGCTGCGCTGCAGTGATGGAAAGCAGGCGGAGGGGTCAAGGGCTTGCGCTGATCTGCGGAGGCCTTGCTGCGGGAGCGTGACTTGTGGCGAGGCGAATGCCGTCAGACACTCAGAAACGACTAGTGTCACCAGGGAGAGAATCTCGCGAATCCCGGCCCGCGCCGAGACCTGGAATAAAATCGCACGGGCTGAATTCCATCGCGCATCGCGCCCCTCACGATGGAATCCGACCTCCAATTACCCGCGCTCAGCTGTGTATAAAGATTTATTATAAAACAACATATATACACGGGTATTGTCAAAGTTACTCTTTCCCTTTAGAAACTCGAATTTTTCAGGCAGTTGCAGTCTACATGCGCCTCGTCAGGCTCAGGGAGCACTGTAGCAGCGCCCATTCCGTCATTTTCGCCACGCAGTGCGCGAATTTTTAGATCACGCACTGCGTGGCGAGATTGACATGAATGGGCACGGCTACAGTGCTCCCTGAACCTGACGAGGAAACGAAAAAAGTAAACCCAAATTAAGACGTATCCGACCGCAATTTTCCCGAATCTTCGAATCAACGATTTTCTGTGGAGTCGCCCAAACCTGACACAGTCAGCCACATGTTGGGGATATATACGTACAGTATTTTTGCGCAGCCGAAAAAACAAATTAGCCCATAGAGGCCCAGCATGTGACTGGGGGTTGCATCAACCCTAAACTCGAAAAAGGGCCGCGAATTTAGGGTTGATGCCATCTTGAATGGCATGTGGGCCCCTATGGGTTTCATTGATTTGCCCAAAATGCTGCCCAAAATCTCTTTGTCTAGTTTTGCATTTACTGTCGAATTGCAGCGCAACAAATTTTGCTGTGAGATTCTTGTCGCGAAGGCACAACTCTACACGTCAGTCCGAAACAGTTGACTGCGCATGGCTAAGAATCTCGCCTCTCATTGGCGCAAAATGTTCCGGTATATTACTGTCAAATTGTCGTTTGATTTGGGAGCATACTTGTCATTTCCTCGAACTTGACGAGGCGCATGTAGGCTGCAGCTGCCTAAGCGTTTTCGAGTTTTGAAAGAGAAAGGAAAACTTTGACAATACCCGTGTATATTTGTTATTTTATCATAAACCTTTACACAAAGCAGAGCGTGGGTAATTGGAGATCGGATTCCGAAGTGCGGGGCGCGAAGCGCGATTGAATTCAACTCGTGCGATTTTATTCCAAGTTTCAGCGTGGGCCGGGATTCGCGAGATTCTCTCGTCACCAGGGGAGAAAGCAATGTCAACATCGCGCGGCACTTCCTTATACCCCTTACAACCCGCTCTTCTTAGGGCCACGTTTTTCCACTACATCTTAGGTTGAAACATAAGTCTTATATGGGGAACAGACAAATACACCAAGAGCTTGACATTGTAATAGGAATTACGGAATATGAACATTACGGAAAGGTGAGGGAAACCAGCTTCAACACTCCACACCATTAACCTGAACAATGGCCATAGGCAAAACAACATCGCATGTCAATCGTACAACCGTAGCGTCCTGTAACATGTGTTGTGTCTTTGTCTTCCACTACCACCATTTTCACTGGTACTGGTACCGTACGGGTCAATGGGATGGGAAAAAGAAATGCACAGCCAGCCAATCCCATGTCATAAAGTGGCAACGGAGATTCCGGAAGCTACCGTACCGTACCAGTACTTATTGCAAAGTGTCACATCTCTTCCGTTTCCTGACACAGCACTGCTGGCACACAGCCAAGCCAACAGTCCTCGAAAACTGCCAATGGATAGATTCCAGAAGCTACTCACTGCAACGTGTCACACCAGGCTACTGCTTGCAGGCACAGAGCCTTCCCTGCACCATTCACTATTCTTCCACCCTCACATTTTCCTTCCCCTTGGCCTGGCACATGAGCTTGTGTGAGCGCCACTGGGCCTTCTGGCCAGGGTTTCAGCTAGGATTTAGGGCTATCTGAGAATCAGACAGGGTTTCATAGTTGACAGTAGTCTTAATTCCAGATAGCTCTCATAACATGTAACAAACACGAGTACTTAACCAAGGATCTTTGCTTGAAATAACTTGTCAAAAGTTGTAGAAGACTAAGTATAAAACTGCAAACACGAACACTTGGAAATCCTCAAGTGTTGGTCCAGGATCTTTACTGGAATGGTAGACTAGTAAGACAACGGAAGTCTTGTAAAAAGTAACAGTCAAGGTTGAATAACCTGAGTACGTGAACTTGTGAGTAATCAAAGTTAATAATGAAAAGACCTAACAAGGATTTATAGTTCTATGAAAAGTACCTATTCGCTAATGTACCTGTTCGTCACTATCGCGCTATGCACCCTAAACGATAATGAAGAGGTGCGACTATTCGCGTGACTGAAACGACTGTCCTATGACGAGCGCTATTTGCTGACGTCATCCTACGGACTTATGTTCTACAGTAGGATTCGATACTATCTATACCTAATCGACTTACAGAAATGCTAAGTATCAATTATATCACAACACTCCCCTTAATTTCTGGAAGCTCGATAGTGTCACTTCTTGAAGATCCCGCAAAGCTTGTTATAGTACTGGAACTTCTGTCGTGTCAGCTTCTTCGTGAGGAAATCGGCAGCCATTTCGTTGGTCGAACAGTAGACCAATCGCATTCTCCCCTTCTCGACTTCATCCTTGACGAAAAAGTAACGCAGAGAAATATGTTTCGTCATGTTGACGAAACCAGGCTGATGCGCGATGCGAATTGCACTTTGGTTGTCGCACTGTAGGGTAAACTGGGTAGTCGTCGTCAACTTCGCTTCTTCCAATAGTTCCTGTAGGTAAAGTCCTTCGCGTGTTGCTGTGCAGACAGCGATGGACTCAGCTTCAGCAGAGGAGAGAGCAATCAACTCCTGCTTCGTAGAATTCCAAGAGATAGGCCCGATAGGTTCAAGTCGATAGATGAACCCAGTACGAGAGCGTCGATTAGTAGTGTCAGCGGCGTGGTCGGCGTCGACGAAACCGTGTAGGTATAGTGTTTTGCAACTGATGACGTTGTAGACTAAATCGACGTTAGGTGTCGAGACGAAATATTGAAGCGCACGAAGAAGATCGAGTTGATGTTCTTCTTCGGGTCGGCGTAGGAACTGAGCGAGCTGACTGGCCGCGTAAGCTAGATCGGGACGACAATTGACAGCGGCAAAGAGTAGACAGCCTAACTGCTATTGATAGATCTGTAAACCGATTGGACTCAACTGTGCGGTATTTGGTTTGTAGTCAGTCGGTAGAGATCGGTACGGTGTAGAGACTGCAGTAGGAGTGAGATTGAAGCGGGCAGCGAGTGTCGCTGCGTACTTCGAAGCGGTGAGATGAACAGCCGTCGGTGAACAGGTAATTGTTCAGACCAAGAAACTGTGAGACTGTTTCGGAGACTGTAAGCTGTAGAGTTTTATGTAGTTTCAGTATGAAGATATCGGCAAGAGAATCGGTAGTACTGACGTAGAGGATATCGTCGACGTAGGCGACGAGTAAAATATAGTTGCTGCCGTCAGTCAGAAGATACATTCCCTGGTCATGCGGTAGCTGACGAAACCCAGCAGTGATAAGCTGTGAGTGGAGATACTGCTGCCAGAGTCGTGGAGCCTGTTTAATGCCGTATAGCGATTTTCGGAGACGGCATACGCTCGGTGGGTTAGTAGCATAGGAATGTGGGTACTCTACCAGGATGAGTGCGTCGACTGGTGCGTAGAGAAACGCATTTGACACGTCGATTTGTCGAAGACGTAGATTACGGCAGGCATCGACACATAGTAAAATCCGAACGCTTGTGTGTCGCCCGACAGGAGCAAAAGTTAGTTCGTAGTTGATGCCGTAAGTCTGCTCGAACCCGCGGACGACCCATCGCGCCTTGAATTTCTCAAACGACCCATCTGCATTAGTCTTGACGCGAAAAACCCATTTTCTGGTAAGTACCTTCTTCCCTTTTACTTCTGAAGTCGGTATTAGATCCCATGTGCCACGATTCTTAAGAGCTGCTAGCTCCTTGTCCATGGCTTCGCACCATTTTTCTCGGTGAGGACTCGTAAGAGCTTGTCGAACGGTTTTCGGTTCAGGTATCTTACTGTTGTTGCACTGTACTGCGACTGTAAATCCAAGTATCTGTAAGCCGGTTTCTGTAAAACGCGGACGTTCTTCGTTTGCACCTGCGAAATTTTCTTCTGGTCCTTTTCCCCCCCAATTTCGTCACGTGTAACACGGATTGCTGCGTCGGAGACGGCGGGCATTGGCTGCTGTTGACGATCGCGTTCATAATTGAGGTGGACTTCGCGAACGTCATCCTGGTCAGCATCTGCAAGAGGAATAAACTCAGGTATGCCAGTCGAGGTTACAGGTTCGGGAATGTCAGTTGCAGCAGCTTCGGATGCTTCAGAGACTGCTTCATTCTATATATCAGCTTCGGCTTCGTCGGTTGCAAATGCACGCGAACCCTCGAACAGCCTAGCGGGCTTGGCAGCTGCTACCTGGTGGGCACGAAAAACTGGCAAGGTGAGTCTTTCGTAGAGGAGACAATCACGTGAAGGGACGATTTGGTTGGAGCGAAGATCCAAAATCTTCCACGCATGATACTATTTTTCGATGCCGAGATGTACCCCCCATTTTGCCCTTTCTGAAAATTTGCCAAGTGTTGCGGTTGGAGGACGAAACTGCACGACACACCCGAAAACTCGTAAAAGTTTGGTGCTTCCCACTGTACATGTCCACTGTAGGTGCGGAGAAGAAAACTCGGGTAGTGACGTGGAAGACAGCAGGTTGTGTAACATCACCGCATGGTCCATCGCATACGGCCAAAAACGAGGTGGAAGAGCTGCCTGTGTCAGCAGAGCACGCATCTTCTCTTGCAGAGTTTGGTTCATCCTCTCTACTGCCCCCATCTATTGGTGTGCGTGTGGTAGTGACTGCTTCCGTTTGATGCCGAGTGTCACAGGATCGAATGTGTCGAGGAAAGGTTGCACTATCGATCAGTACAAGGCGCTTTTATACTTCCAGAGTACATCAAGTAACCAGGTTTATCCTATCTAAAGGAATAGACC